AATCGAATGTGAGACATGTGAGCTTAATTGTTAATAAGTCATGTATTATTTTGATTTTTAGAAACCTCTGCAGAAGCGTTGGTGAGCTTACGAGGTAAAATTGCCAAATTCTAACAAATTATTCCTAAAACTTAATTTCAAAGTTTTACATGTTGGTATACATGTGTAATGGTTGTCACTCTGTTTGAAAAATATTTGTAAACATATTATGTAAGCAGGGCAGGTTATAACAAGAAGAGTAAAGAAGTAGTGGTTTTCTGGTTCTGTCTTTGTACACAACTAAATTCTCTGTACTGTTATAGCAAAAATGTGTGACATGTGTTTATGAGAATTTGTATTTTGAACTAGAGACTACTAACAAAGTTTAAATGCCTACAGTGGAAACCATTTAGGAGTATGAAACTATTTTACAATGGATAATTAATTAATCCTTTTGATCACAAGATCAACATCAAATTCTCCCAACCCTCTGCGCTATAATGTCCTTGGGAGAATTTGGTTTTGTATCCTGTCTTTTCTCTTGACATGATCTAGTGCCTCCTTCTTGCAACTTATCTGCTAGAAATTATTACAATATAGAAAAGTGTAGTTAACAAATTGACATCAGTTTTTCATGCATCTGTCCTGTTATTGATCCATTATTGTCAAAGTAACTGTGGATCCATGAGGCGATAGCCATGGTCAATAACAGGACTAGACGCATGAAAAACTGGTGTCAAGTTGTTTTTTACAGTAACAAAAAGTGCATCTCTGAGAAATTCTGCTTGTCGAAGCCAAGAAAGTTTTACTAAACATCATCTTAATTCGGAAAAACCTAATTTGCATTCACTTTTGACACACTAATCTACATATGCGACTTACAAAACTAGTTTCATATGCGATTTACAAAACTAGTTTTGTAAATCGCATATGAATGCAAATTAGGTTTTCCGAATTAAGATGATAAAAAGTGTATTGCATTGCATAAATTATAATTTGATGGGTCTGTCTGCTTATTGACAATGAAAATTAG